GGAGGCGGCATCCTCTGCCTTCAGGCCCCAGGTCTGGTGCCTGCGGCCCTACCCCGAAATTCCCGTGTCAAAACCTGAACCCAGGGTGACGGCGTCAGGAGGCAGGGGCTCTGAGCCAGGACGGCACAGGGGATAGTGTGCTCACACAAGCGGCCCAAGGGCTCCTCGGCCCCTTCCACCATGTGAGGACGAGGCGACAAGCCGTCATCTGTGAATCGGGAAACAGGACCTCACCAGACACCGGATCTGCCATCACCCCAATCTTGGAACGCCCAGCCCCCAGAACTGTGAGAAATACATCCTGTTGTTTATAAGCCGCCCAGTCTGTCGCATTCTGTTATCGCAGCCCGAGGGATAGCCAGAGATAGCCAGAGACCACCCTCGGAGCCCAAAGCCCAGCCAAACCAGCCACACTGGCCAGTCCTGCACTGCCCCCCCGCCCGCCCTGCTCTCCCAGGCACCCCACGAGGGCTGTGGCCTGCTGCCCCCACGCCCACTGCTGCCTCTGCCCCCGGCGGGGAGGGAGGCCTGCGTGCTGCGCGCCTCCCGTCGCAGGACCCGTGCGTGTAGCAGACTGTGCTCTCCTGAACCCTCCTGGAGCTCCTCTCGCGGCTGCGCTGACTGACCATCCCGTAAAATAGCACAACACAGGCTCCCACCACACATTTTGCAGTGCTCTCCAAAGCCTAGAGAGAAGTAAGAACAGGTCTTCCAACCTGACACTAGAGCTTTCTGAGCCCGCGCCATCTCCTTTCCAGGGGGGTCTCCCCTCGGCTTCCAGGGAGGCCGCTCGGGGCTCCTGGCCCTGCGCTGGGCTCTGCTTACAGGCTCACATGCTGACAAGTCCCACTCCTAGCTACTGCGTAGGGCCACGGCCACGTAACAATTGGAACCTCTTTCTGCGAATATGTCGGTGTAACTTTCTGTGTGCCCGGCACTTGGCACTCCTGCGCTGACCGCAGCGTCCTGAGCGGCGAGTGTGGCAGCTCCGTCACCCCCAGGCTCGAGCGAGGAGGACATTACACCCTCACGGTCTCAACTGCAAGGGGCTCCCGCTGCTCCAGCTGCAGCCTCAGTGGCAGGCAACGGCCGATTAAGGGCAAGTCACTCCTCAGAGCCCTTCCCCACCCTGACAGAGAGAGTCCCTCCGCCCCTGCGCCTCTGTCCCACAGCCCGTGCCCACGGAGGTCAGCACGGCCAAGCCCCGGAGCAGAGACAACGGCCCCTCTGCCCACCTGCGCGTGACTCTCCTCCCAGCCCAGCAAGTCAGTGTTTTAAAACTTTGGATTCATTACTCCAGGTCGTTAAAAGTAATCATGAGTTAAAAATAAACATTTAGTATAATAATTAAGAGCTCACAGGCAAGGTCTTTCTATTCCCTTAAGTTCCTGAGATCCAAGTTCACTCTTTCCCCAGTTTATTGAAATTCGGAAGCACGTCCCGTGGTGACCGTGAGTTAAAAAGCCACCCCGTAGGCAGTGGTGGCTGCAGACCTGACTGTAAGAACAGACCGTCAACTTTTTGAAAGTGGGAGACAAGTATTTCTTTAACCATTGAGATTCCCCTGCCCTGCCCCCACACCCCAAACCTTGAGATTCTTCCCCAAGAGAGAGGCCCATGGGCAACTTAACAATGTCCATAAACTCCTGAGGAATCTGTGCTAGTTCAATGCTTCCAAGCCCTAGCTTGGAAGAAAGTACAGAAAATTAAATGCAAGAAAAAGTTATGCTCTGACCCTGGTAGTGACTAGCAAACCAGAGACAGCAGGTGCGTTAGGGTGGCTGGATGGGGCAGTCCCCACATCAGGACCCACCTCGGGCCCAGGGCTGCCCTCCCCTGGCACAGGGTTCTGCCCTTTAGACCCACAGCCCCGGGAACACAGGCGGAAGGGCCGTCCCCTGCAGCAGAGGACTGGACAGGCCCTCCCAGGTCGCGCGGGTCCTTTACAGATCTGTTGACCTTCCTGCCCGCTGGCCGCCGCAGAGCCCAAGGCTGCCCAGTTCTCGCCTGTCTTCCTCCACAGTAGGGCTTGGGAGGCACCTTCAAGCCCAGAGTTTCCTCTTTGGACCTTCATCTTGTTCAATTTTGTCCATATCTCTGGATTGGTCAGGTGGTCGGGTTAATTCTGGATCTTGGTTTTGCCACGCAACGCATCTGAAAGGCCTCCCGGCTTCCCTGAGCTTGATCCTGTGAGCGTCCCAAATGCCCCTCCCTCATCGCAGGGGACAGGAGAGACCCGGCTGGCAGGCCTGCGGGCTGTCTGTGTTCTGCCCCTTCTTTCCCTTTGCACCTGTCTTCTAAGGTCTCGACCGTTTTGCGACTCTCCTCTGCAGCACACAAACATCTCAGGTCCCTTTCAGAACTGAATCTGGGCTAACAGCACAGGGCTCTGCGATCCCCCTGGAAAGGTGGAGTCCGGCTTCCCTTTCGTCCTGCCTGTCTGACGGTCACCCCTGCTCTCTCAGCCCGATCGAGGCTCGTTTTGCCAACGTGAAAATGAGGCAGCGCTTTGCCCGCTGGGTGTGGGAACCCTGCGGTGTCTCGGTGTGTTAGGACGCCAAGGTTCTCATGCCAGTTTCCCAAACATCTTTGCCCTAAAACATTGAAAGAGAAGGTGTGGATGGGCCTGGAGTCCTGCAGTCGGGGCGCAGGAGAGCTGGGTTCCAGCCCACCCTCCTCCCTCAACGCACTTGGGCCTGAGTCTTGGACACCAGCCTGGGCAGTGTAGACTAGGAAATAAATAGCCCGTTTCACTCTTTCCCTCCTAGGTAAATGTGCTTCCCTCCAAGGAGACTTCACTGTGTGTGCCCAGCGCCCACCACGCAGGCGCCTGGCAGCTCAGGGCTAGCCCATAGCACGCACAGAGAGCCGGAGACGGAAAGAACCCCTCGCCAACCCCAGTGACAATCACACTTCTTCCTTTTATTCAAATAGAGTAGCCCCCAGTGTATCCCCAGCTAAATTGTTTAACAAATAAAAATTCCAGAGCGCATACATAGTTGGGTTTCTTTGTAAGCTGTCATCGATCCATCCTACGGACTTGGTTTGTTGAGAATTCAGTGGCATATGAGAAGATGAAGAGCAAAAGTGGGGAGTTTATGCTTTAAAATTGAGGCTTCTCTGGATTAGTTCAGAGAAAGTTTCATTTCTGGGAAAGAAAGAGAGGTGAGTTAGGAAGAGGTGAGAAGTCATATGATTTGGCCTTAATGAGGATTGTTTTGGAAGCTGCAGCTTTCAGCCCTGCCAGCAAAATCCACCCTTGACTACATCTGAGGTCTACATCAGGATTTTTCTTCTAAAGATTTAGTATTTCAGTTATGCATTACAGTATATCAACCATCCCAAACCACCAGTTCCCTGTGCTCATGCGCAGGTCATGAATTTGAACAGAGCACAGTGGGGTGTCCTGACTCCCACAGGTGGTCTCTAAGGTGTGACTGGAAAGCATTGCATGCTCGGGAGTGATGCTGGGGGCGGGGACTCCATGCCAGGCACCTGGGCGGGATGGCTGGAGGCTGAGCTCTGCTGGGATGCTGACCACAGCACCTCCTCCTTGCCTTTCTATGTGGTTTAGGTGGCCCACAGCATGGCCCTTGGATTCCAAGAAAGAGAGTCTGTGATGGTTAATTTTATGTATCAACGTGGCTGGGCCATGGGACCCAGATATTTGTCCAAAAACACCAGATGTCACCATGAAGGTATATTTTAGATGAGACTAATATTTAAATCAGCAGGCTCCGAGTAAGGCAGATTGCCTTCAATAATGCGGTGGGCCTCGTGCAATCAATTGAAGGCCTTGAAGAATAAAGACTGAGATTCCCCGAGGAGGAGGAAATTCTGCCTCCAGATTGTGTCTGGACTCGACCTGCAGCACCAGCTCTTTCCTGGACCCCCAGCCTTCCAGCCTGCTGCACTGACTTTGACTTGCCAACATCCACAACCATGGAGCCAGTTCCTTAAAATAGATCTATGCATATACAAGCCCTGTTAGCTCCATTTGTCTAGAGAACGCACATACCGGGGCCTGACACGGACAGCCCAAGAGAGCCTATGGGTGGAAATGAAGGCTAGGGGGTCCAGATCACTTCCCCATGCTCTGTTGGTGGAGCTCAGATTCGGGGGGAGGGGACATAGGCCACCTCTTTAGGGCAGGAGTGTCCAGGAATGTGGGGCCATGGTTTGCAACACACTGAAATTGCAATGTCCTTTGACACCTTGGATCAAATGGAGGTGGGGCTCCCAGTTGTTGTCTAGAGGGCTGAATGAAGAGCAAAGGCGAAGAGCACATCTGTGCCGAAAGTCCCAAACCATGCGTGGCCTTGGAGCACATCTCCGTGGGGACACACTTGTCCCACATCTCAGGTAGGACCCAGGCGTCAAGGTGAACCGATGCCTTTGAGCTTTGGGAGAACCCGTGGCATGAGGGCTGGATCTAACATCTGGGTGCCAGAGTAGGCAACTTGGAAGAGGGTTACAGCCACACAGTTCCGTGGGTGACGTTGGTGGATGGCTGGGCACATGGGCAGCAAGATGACCCCTCCCCACGTGCCCCCTATGTGCCACATTGTACACGCAGTTCTTTCACTGTCTCATTTAACTTTTAGAATAAGTGTGAAAAGTAGTGTCTCCACAATCTGCTGAAAGAACAAATCACTCCAACAATGATCTCATCATCCGTTCTCATGGCCCTGCGGGTGACCAGGTTCAGCCACAGCTCTCACTCTGTGGGTCTCAAGAAGTCGTGGTCAGATGGTGATGAGGGCTGGGGTCACCTTGAGGCTCAGTCACTCTCTGGGTGTGTGCAGAAAGAGAGAGTGGGTGCTAAGCATGAGCACCCAAGAGAGCCAGCCAGGCAGCAGCCACGTGGTCCCTTATGACATTACCTCGGAATCACGTAGCATCACCTGCCCTGAACTCTATGTTACAAGTGAGTCACTAGGGCCAGCTCACATTCAAGGGTAGGGGTTTGAAAAAATTTGCCTACATGTCTTAAAACCACCACAAGCACCCTCAATTTGCTCACTCTGCAGATGAGGAAATGGAAACCTGCAGATGCCAAGTTGACCTCCAGGGTGCGCACAGCCCGTAAGGGGCAGGGGCGAGACTCGAAACCAGCCCGACCAGAGTCCAAAGCCTGTGCCATCAGCCACTGTGCCTGCCTGCCTCTCGGTATGCCACATTCTGTCAGGGCACGTATGACATAGGTGGATCAGAACAGAATTTTAGATTGGAAGACACAAGAAGGAATGAAAACTATTCCAAGAGCAAACAAGAAAAGAACGTATGCTAAGAGAAGTCAGAAGACGCTCCCTGTAGCAGGTGGATCTAGCAGAGTGGGGAAGGGTCTGTGTCAGATAAGGTGTACAGAGAAGCTGGGGGGACAGGGAATGTGGGGGGCAGATATTCCAGGCAGAGACGCAGGATATATGGAGGCAGGAGCACACGTGGTAACCCCGACTAATAACAGCTGGGTGGGCATAAAGAGACACAAGAAACAAAACGCAGCAGATGTGGACTGGCACCTGATTATGTTAAACAAAAGTGCTTAAATGCCAGATAGAGGGCTTTTGCTTTCATTTAAAGCTGAACTTCTCAATGTGTAGTCCCTGGACCTGGAGCTTCACGCGTCACTTGGAAACTTGCAAAAACTGGGAAACTCTGGGGATGGGCCCAGCAACCGCGTTGTCACAGCCCTCCGGGGGATTCCGACGATGCAGGCTCCCTCTGAGACCCGCTGCTCCAGGTATTGGCCGGGAGGTCTTAGTAGTTCTGAGCAAGAGCGTGCTGTGATCTGAGTTGCTTTTAAAGCAGAGGCCCGGTTGTGGTGTGCTGGGCAGGCTGTGATGAGGGAGCAGACCCGTGTCCTCTGGGGGGCACCACGGGCTGAGCTGCTGCAGCAGAGCGGAGGGCAGGGGGGATGGGACAGGGAGCAGGGCAGGCACTGGGGCCTGAAGGGTGGGTCTGGGTGGGGGTCAATGTCCACTACAATGTCAATGTCCCTGGGCTGGGTGGTGGTCAATGTCCACTACAGAGTCCACAGCCACAGCCAGCTATTTAGAATTTAGAGTTTCTGTAAATATTTGAACCGCAGGGCCCTAGGAATCTGGGGATCAGCCGAGGACCCAGGGATTGGGTTACAGACTCGGCTTCCTTTTACGCAATCAAGCAGCTTTCTGCATTTTGCCTCCGGGAGAGCTTGGCCTGGTCCAGCATTTTCTCTCAGCCCTCCATGCTTTGTTGCAAGGCCTGTTGGCTCAACCTGAAGCCACAGATTTTTCTAAACCATCTTTGCAGAGTGAGTTTAGTAACAATATAACCTATCACGTATGCTTGAAAATTAAATGAGATAATTCCTGGCGTGCTCAATATATATTAGCTATGTGTATTATTTTCACACTTGTTATCACCCTTATTACTCATTTGCTCACGGGAGGTGTGTTCGCTGTGCACCCACTGTGCACAAGTCTCCGCCAACACAGAGGAGAGCCGCCACCGCCCGTCCTCCTCGCCTCCCTGCCTTCACGCTCAGCTCACCTGAGAGACAGACAAGAGCGCGGGTTTTCCGGTCTCAAGGATGCGGTTTGAGCCCTAAGTTTCATGAAGCATTAACTTTATAATCTTGGAAAACCGTGTTTCTAGGCCTACGGATTCTTCGCAAACGAGATTGGAAGACTCGAGACTGTGTAAGGATCAAATGAGAAAAAGGACGGGAAGGCTTTGAGGCTCGGCGAGTCTGTGCACGCCCAGAGCGTGTGGCAGGGTCCCTGCTTGTCCCTCTCGCCCGGCCTTGGCCCCACCCATTCCCGGAGCTTCCACCTCCCCGTCTCCAGGGGCGGTTCCCCAGGGCAGGCCCGGGGTCTCCTCGTCTCCTCCTCAGGGCTGCTCCGAGCTGCTCCTCCAATTCACTGAAAGCTGAATAAGTAAAGAATCGACTTGCTAAGTGACTAATGAAGAGAACACACCAAATATACAGATTTGTCAACAACTTGTTTCTTTAGGCTCTCTGCAGAGGATTTGGCAGTTCTTACAGGACGTGATGATTCTGTCAGCTGAGCCGTGTTTAGGGCGCGCTCCGTTTGTGCAGCTGAGGGGGTCCTGGGCTGCCAGAGCGCAGTGCTGAGGGAGGGAAAGGGCACGACAGTCCACACAGGGCCCTGCCTGGATGCCCGGCTCAGAGAGGGACCCAGGAGTGGGGAAATAGGGAGCCCCAGAGCCCGGACTCCTGCAGGCCTCTTAGGCCCTGCCAATTTACTCGGTGGAAATCGCTGGAGACTGTGCTGAGTACGTTTTTTAAAGATCCATTCGCTGATCAGTGTGTGGTCCGCTGGCCTCGAGGGACTTGTTGAGACCCAGACAAACCCTTCCAAGTGGATTTTCAGCCACTTAGGAGCACATGTGGCTGAGCCCTCTTCTTAACTGCAAGGGGATTAGTGTTGTCTCTGATGGGCCCTTGGACTAGAACCAACAGCTCAGCGTAGTTACCAACATCCCAGCAGAGGCCATGGAATCCCCGATGTGGCATTCGGTGCCACCTAGAAGAGTCAGGCCTCTGCATGTTTTAGGTAACGTCTCTGCTTTTTCTCTGCCTGAACTTTCCCAAAGCTGCCACTTTCTCTACCTGATTCAACAACTTTTTCCTTTGTCAGCCATGACTGAGGCTCAGAGAACTTTCCCCATTTGCAAACGTCCTCTGTGTCTGCTCAGCTTCCCGGCTGGGCTCAGAGCGCAAAGCTGGGCTCAGAGCGCAGGATGGCCGAGCTTCAGTGCCCTCTCTGCTCTGCACCCCCCTGCCACTGTGGTTGTCCAGGGCCTGGGCCTGTGTGCTGTGTCAGCTGTGGTTCCGTGGAGCCGCGTGCTCTCTGCCAGGAGTAACGGGGGCCCCCAGAGTGGAGGCGGCCAGGAGGACCAGGTGGGCACACCATGGGTGGGGGGTCTGTGGCACCCCACCCCAGTCCCGCACGCGGAGGGGCAGGGCGGCGTGTCTGGTGGAAAGGCTGGCTGCCGGCATTGCGTCCTCACTCTGCCCCGTGAGCTCCGAGGGACAACCCACCTGCCATGGCGGGCGGGTGGTGAAGGTCGCACTTCATGGCAATAGCCCCAGGGACTTGCCTAAGGTACATACATGTCAGTGGGAACAAAGGTGAAATTGAAACGCTCCGTGCAGCGGGTCTCTCCAACACAGGGTTCTGATGCATTCCAGCGCCCCCCGTCCTCGAGGACACGTTCCCGACCCTCCCGTGTGGCACACGGGGTCTGTGTTAGCGAGGTCCTGTCTGTGCCTCCAGCCTGACTGCCTGCGTTGGCACTCCACTGAACGGCACGCTCGCCTGTCTCTGCGTGTGCGGGGGCTGTCTGTCCTAGTGAGCGGCTGTCCATCCCCTCTTGTTCCAAGGCCAGCTCTTAACCGAAGCGTTGGTTTGCCGGGGCTGCTGTGACCAGCACCACAAACTGGGGGCTGAAGCCGCAGAAATGTACTTTGTCACGGTTTTGGGGGCTGGAGGTCTAAGAGGGAGGTGGCAGCAGGGCTGGTCTCTCCTGAGTCCTCGCTCCTGGGCTTGCAGAAGGCCGCCTTCTCCCCGTGTCTCTCCGTCTTCACTCTGTGAGTGTCCCTGCCCTGATTGCCTCTTCTTATAAGGACCCCGGTCTGATTAGATCAGGACCCCCTGATGACCTCGTGCTGTCTCCAAACCCAGTCGCATTCTGAGGTGCTGGAGGTTAGGTCTTCAGCATCGAGTCTGGGGCGGCACAATCCAACCTGTAACACAAAGCCCAAGGGGGGATTAGCTGCTCCTGTTTGGAGGGGCTGAGGGGCTTCCTCAGCCCCGAGTACCCTGGACAGCTGGTCGCCCGTCGTCTCCGCGGCTGCAGCCTGGGCTCGCCCTGCCCTGGTTCTGCTGCGTGTCTGCCCAGGGTGGACTCTACGAGCAGAGCATGGGGCCGTTTCGTACCGACCTTTGTCCCCCAGTGCCTGGCACCTGTGAGGTGCTCATGGGTGCAAAGGAACCAATAAATGTTCCCACGTGTGGTCCTGGGCCTGGCTGTCCTCATGCCCTGCTGGAATGCCTCCCACCTGCCCCTTCAACTCCAACTATTTTTTTTATGTCAAACTCATGATAATGGCCCCGTGCTAATGCAGAAAACCATTCCAGAAGCTTCCATCAGGACTGTCTGGGAGGGGTCCTCAGCCTTCTGCGCACACCTTCTGCCTCAGGTTTGGTTTACGGGAGGGGTCTGGCTATGAGTGTTTGTCATCCTCTCCCAGGGCGGAGAGCAGGAACCAGGGCCAGCCCATCCCGAAGACGATAGCTCGACGTCCGTCAGACCCGCAGCGGCTCCCGGAGCTCGTCCCGAACGCTTGCAGTCCTGCCCAGGACCTGAAGAGGAGAGAGTCAAGGTGGGGGAGGAAGTGAGGCCCAGAGAAGGGCCCAGGCCCAGAGAAGGGCCCAGGCCCGGGCGGGCCACACTGCTGCAAAGGAGCAATCTGCCACAGGCTGCTGGACTCACCGGGCCGCAGAGCCCGCTGATGCCTGGCCCCGCTCTGTCCTGCTTTTCACCCTGCTGCCCCAGACATCGTTGGAACCCCTTGCTGCCTGGGGCTTGCTAAGGATGGGGGTCTCTGACTCCTCTATGTGCTCATAGTGGCCAGGCACAGTCCCTGGGCCCCCTCCCCGGAATGTCCTGAGGTGTGATTACCCGCTCTGTGCCCACCTAGGACATGACGGCGGCTGCACTTGTCACGAGAGCAGAACCAGAGTCTGTCAGTCTGTGATGAGGGCTGTCCTGCACAGGTGTCAGTCGGGTTCTGTGTGTCATTACAGTAATAACAGCTAACGGTTACCGTGTGCCAGACCTGCGTGAGGGGCCTCCCCATGTACTAATTCATGTAAACGTACCACCACCCAATGAGGCCCGTTCTCTGTTACCTTGCAGATGAGGAAACTGAGGCTTGGCAGACTAGATAACTTCCTCAGATAGCGGTGGGCTGGGACTCACACTGCACTGGGTCTCCAGCCCTCTCAGGATCACCAGTATGACTCTCCAGTTCATGCTCCACGCTAGACCGGAGTTTACAGACACAAGCACCTACGGGATTGGCTGCTGCGCTTGTCAGTGCTGCTGCCGTGCGGGTCCGGACGGAGCTCACACAGGTGCGGGCCGACTGTGCAGCTCCCTGGTCCCTCTGGCCTCTCCGGGGCTTGTTTCTCTGACTCCTTCCCTGCAGCTGTGGGGACCATGGGATGTAGCAAGGACTGAGTCTGATTGTAGCTTGTGAGTCGTGGACGTGCCCCAGTAAATATAACCACAGCGAAACCTGCACAAGACCTCACAAATCACAGACCCCGCCCCAGGAGAGCCCGGCTGGTCCTTCCTCCTCATCCCTGCCCTAGAAAGGGGGTGGCTGTGATGATTCTTGTTTTCTAGATAACACAAGGACCATGCAGAGGGACAGAGGGTTGTGGCTTCTTGGCCATGTGCCTGGAAACCTGAGAAGCCTCAGCACGCGTGGAACCTGAGCACGGAGCTGCTCTGTTTGGGCTTTCAGAGAGAACACAGATGGGACGGACGCTGCCCCACAGCCTGGGTTATTCCAAAGGGACAGAACACGGTCCCTGCAAGAGACTCCACAGAGACTCTGAGAAGTAAAAGACAACACACAGCCGAAAAGGATGAGGAACATTCGGCATGAGCTTGGGGCCTGGGGCACCACCTTACGCCCAGAAAGAGAGCAAGTGGTGGAGCTGTGGGTGCTGGCGGGGTCCGAAGATGACTATTCCCAGCTGCTTATCAAAACAGCAGCATAGGCCGGGCGCCGTGGCTCACGCCTGTAATCCTAGCTCTTGGGAGGCCGAGGCGGGCGGATTGCTCAAGGTCAGGAGTTCAAAACCAGCCTGAGCAAGAGCGAGACCCCGTCTCTACTATAAATAGAAAGAAATTAATTGGCCAACTGATATATATATAAAAAATTAGCCAGGCATGGTGGCGCATGCCTGTAGTCCCAGCTACTCGGGAGGCTGAGGCAGGAGGATCGCTTGAGCCCAGTAGTTTGAGGTTGCTGTGAGCTAGGCTGACGCCACGGCACTCACTCTAGCCTGGACAACAAAGTGAGACTCTGTCTCCAAAAAAAAAAAACAGCAGCATGTATAGCAAGTCCGCACTCCCATGGATGGGTCTCCCTGTCTGATCTTTGGCCTTCTTGACTGCACCGATCTCTGGGGTCTGAGTTGTAAACTGTGGCAGTGGTGATGTCGGGATTGGACAGCCGCTCCCGGAGAAAGGCACGCATGCTAAAAGACAGCATGCAAATCTCTCTTGTCTGCAAGAGTTCGGGGGTCTGGGGGCTCCTTGTCCGAGAGCATGTAGCTCACTGTCTGAATTTCTGGGGCGTGGACTGGACATAGGAGGCCCCGAGGGTTGGGAACAGCTCACTGTCACCCGGATGCAGGGGCAGGGCTGGGCATGGAATCTGAAGGTCTGCCCTTGATCCTGGTGCCTTGCAGGACCCGGATGGATGCTCCTGGGTGTGGGGTGCATTTGGCCTTGAGCTGGGCTCCGGCTTTGCAGCGCATCTCATTTCTCATTTTTCTCAGTTCAGCCCTGTGGTCACCTGTGTGGCCAGGGCTGCAGGAGACATTATGTTCCCTTCTGAGGATCAGTGGCTTTGTTTTATTTGTTTGTGTTCTTTCCTCTCCCCTTCCTCTTTCTCTATTTCTTCCCTTGGAACAGATCTGCTTCAGGCAGATACTAGGTTCTCAACAAACAGCTGTTAGGTGCACTGCAGTAGCCCCTTTATCCACAGGTGGCAGACGCCAAGGCCCCCAAACTGTGGATGGCACCAAATCCCATATATACTATGTTTTTCCTGTACGTACATACCCACGATAAAGTTCGATTTATAAATTAGGCATAGTAAGAGACTAACAATAATAACTAATAGTAACACGGAACAAGTGTAACAGTATACTATGTAATAAAAGTTAAGTGAACGTGGTCTCTGGCGCCTGTTGTACTGTGCTCACCCTTTTGTTGTGCTCTGGGGATCTGACCATGAGGTGGGCAGCGTGGCTGCGCTGGACAAAGCCAGCATTCGTGCCCTGGGTGACGGAGCAGGACAGGGTGGGATTCATCACTCTACTCAGAATGCCTCGAAATTTAAAATTTATAAATTTTTTATTTCCTGAATATTTTATTTAATATTTTCAGAACTTGGTTGGCTGAGAGTATCTGAAAGGGCAGAAAGCAACACTGTGGATAAGAGGATATTAACGTCCTTTATTCTTCCTTTTAATAACACCTTTTGTGCGATTATAAAATTAATAACAGTTCAACTATAGGAAATCTCAAAAATATAGAAAAGCGTCAAGAGGAAAATAAAAACTCTCTAAATTTCCACAACTTGGACGAACACATGTTAGCATTTAAGCATATCTTTTTCCAGTCTTTCATAGATGCACACTTTTAAATAAATGGTTAGCAAAGTTGGGGTCATAATTTATATGGAGTTATACATACACATATAGTTTTCATGTGTAATTCATTTCTCATTTATTATTTTAACAGAAGCATTTTCCTCATATTATTCACGTTCCTTAGAAAATGCATGCATCTTCAATCCCACACGATCCCACACCTGCGCTAACCCTCCCCTCCCGCAGCCTGGCCGGTCCGCGCAGCACCGCGCACAGAGCACCGTGCATCCTTGGGTCATTCCTAGAAGC